CATGGACGTCACAAGAGTGTAGTCCCTCAGCGCATTCATCAATATCTAGAAATGAAAAAAAGTAAGTCCATTCTGAAAAATATTTTGGGAAACTTATCATGAAATAGCCACTTTTTTTTAACTTTGTAGTGCAATCTTAACCCTTTCAATTCCAAGATCTCATCAGCAATACTCCTTGCTCTCTGCCACACAATTCTTATGATATTAGTTTGGAGAATTTGGTATTGGATCAACTAAAATTCTCTGATCGCTATTTTTCTATATTCTCACCACTTGTCTGCTTGGTATTGCGTTCACATTGTAAGGAGAAATTCTCTCATGGTCACTGATGGGAGTTAGTTTTAATTCCAAGCAGGCTAGTGAAGGGCTCTTGTTTAATAAACTCAACAGTGTCTTACCAAATTCGCAATCTTTTCCTTTGAAGCCTTTTTTGCAAATGCAGACGTAGCTGTTGTCTTCGTACTGTGCCGCGCATGTCCCATTGTTCCGATATGGCCAACTGATACACGGAGACTGTGAAATAACAAGAAGACACAAACAGACACTCCATCGCAAGTGTTTCAGGAGGATTATGGTTTGGCCAAAGTTTTCAATTGAAAAATAGTGAATTGCAGTAGTTAAAATAAAATTTTCATTCACCTTTTTAGTACTTCCGATTTATTTGGTAGTTAAAATGCATTATGGAAAATATTATTCATATGAAATTCGCTCAAAGCGTCAAAACCTTTGCTAAAACTTTTATGACACCTTATAACAACCACAAGGAAGTTTTTCAGCTTCTAAAAGGGATTATGATTACCCGTTGATTGAATATACCTCTAGGGAAAACAAGAGCGTCTTATTTTATTTACTCTTTCGTATCGGGCTCGTCATTTTCAAAGTAACTGAAGCGTATGGTCGCAAGAGTTTCATTGTTGTTTCAGAAATCAGTATTTAGTTTCAAGTTATAAATTTTGCATAATTGCAACAGTGCAGGATAATGTTTCACCTGAGATAGAAGGCCTTGGAGAAATGAAATACAGAATATTTTGTATTGCAAACCCAGTTTTGTTCTTGTTTTTTTTGGTTTAGTTTTGTTTAATTTGTGGTTTAAAAGAGAACATTTAAGCAATTTCCTTACCGTGATACTATAGTGATGGTGGCTCTGACTGTACACAAACTTGTCCGAGTTGTTAAACACGTCTGATGGAAGCAGTTCGCACAACACTTTTCCCATGAAAGCGGAGAATACACCCAAGTTGAAGGAGAAACATGACGGTGTGTTGGCACAAACAAATCCACATTCGCTGTCTTCTAGAACATAATCTGACCCAATGCTGGTGACGTTGAGGTAGGAAAATTTTTGAGGCTTAAAGTTGGCGTAAGCAAAACCTTCACCTGTGCCTCGGCTAAGAGGTTTAATGCGTTCATCATTGACTTTTTGTGGAAATAGAAAGTAAAGAAAAGTAAAAATTGTACTCAACTATTTGAAAGAAAAGTTCACAGTGTTCATCAAGGACTCTTACGCCTGAATTTACCTACCGTTCGAGGCCTCTCCTGAGGAGACTATTGTCACGAGTATATGAAAAATAGTGCTGAATAGTTCTCGATGTTTGAGCTTCATTTTCCGTTGCACGAGTGATAAGCTTGTCCGGTCGTTTTAGTGCTCTATCACTTCCTCTCGACTTTTTAGTAAATATAGAACACCCTGTGGGTATAAAACGGCACTTCAAACTCCTATTGGCTAATCGGTTTTAAAAGCAGGTTTCGCCGGTATCAATTGAGAACCTGCATTAACAGTGAAATCAGACACCATGCACTTTCTTGAGCAATCTCCTAGAGGACCCTTAGAAAGAGAGACTTTGTTTATCCAGGAGGCGTATTATCATTGAATGTTATTAGTATTAATCACTGACTGAAGCGAAGACAGATATTTTGGTTATTGTTAAATTTGCTCTATATTCTCAAGCATTAAGAAAGTTTGTTACTTCGTAAGCAATCTTGATTCTTCTCGCTGCCTGTTGCTGTGTTTAAGATCGATGAATCTTTAAAGCGTCTCTCTTTCTGGTGGTACGGGAAGAAGGCAGACTAAGATGATATGCTAACATTCTATATTTACTTTAAATTAGAATGTTAAATTAAATATTAAACCATTTAAGGTCGTTTTAAAAGCAAATAGTCTAAAAATGCAATGACTGAATCACGCAATCATTTTCCATTTGAAACTTTTTCTAAAGTAGCCATATCAGTCTTTCCTTCAGGTGTTTCATGATCATGCACTTGAGGCTTTTCGCTTTTTGCTTTTGCTATGCTATTGGTGGGAACTTCCTCACTAGCTGAAACAACTTAGATCCAAAAACCTTAAAATGTTTCTTCGATCGTTCTACAGCTGTTATTGAATCAAGACGAATATGCTTAACAAATCTATTATTATTCTAGCTGGTGGTTTGGATGAAAGTCAACAGCTGCCGTTTTGAAGAGTAAACAACAGTATACAAATGTTGTTTTCGTCGTTGAAAATGCACAGACCAATCTTACGTCAATAATCTCAAAACTCTGTTCGAGAAAGACATCATGATTTGGCAAAAATGTAGGCATTTGTTTGGTCTACCATGGTAGAAGTGAATTCTACACGGAGCCGCCAGTTGCAGACTTTTTTTGGATTTTTTCTTGCTCTGGAGTCAAAGGACGATATGTGAAAACTACATACATTCACTAATTTTAAAAGTTTTGAATGAGGGGATTAATAATTAACAATTATTCACTCAAGTGGAGGCAAATAGTGGTGGATATTTACCGAGCCCCTCTAGGGTAAATAACAGTTGTAGTCAGTATATTAAATAGAAACTTAAAAAAAAATTTAAAAAATCTCTTTCTGCAGAAGCCCATTACCCATCAATGGGCCTATTCATGAGTTCAGTCCTGCTTTCTGTTGATATTCCGCAAATGGTCGAAAATTAAACTCTTGACGCGCGATGTTCTATCTTCAGCTCTCTGGAAGTAATCAGGTGATTGGTTCCTGCCTTTCAAACCTTTCAAAACTTCTACAAATTCGCTCGTTGACACAGAAATTAAAGTTTATTTTAATTCTAGGATATGCAATGTCTCTTTACGTTTTTTTTGCAATGATCATCGCTCTTACCCGTAAAAAAAAAATACAAATTTTTTCTATGCCCAGTGGTTGCAACATGATCAGAAATTCCTGATAAGTTGTCATCTTAGCGAAGGCCACTAAGTGCTCAGTTTAATTTCCATGCCACCTCTGCTTTGTAGTTGCGGAATGCGGAAAAAATCTGAACTGTCCAAGCACATGATTTCCGGATATCCGACCTTGATGAGAAGCTGATACCTTATAAAAAATGGTGTCTTTTATAAATTTTTTGTGGCGTGTTCTAGGCTTTTAGTTAGTAAAATAAAGCTCAGATCAGTAAATGGTAGTGGAGGAATGGAAAGACGAGAGAGGCCTGGGTCGCGTGGCCTCTGAGGCTTGTTTCGCTCCAGGTTTCGCTCAGCGCGTTTTTCTTTATCTCGCATCCAGGCCCCCATCAAAAGTATTTGGTAGGCGGTTTTATATTAAAACTAAAAATTTATAAGGCTATTTCTGAAAATATACATTGCGATATGCATACGAAATTTAAATTCTGCATAAGATGTATTTTGCATCGCTATCTGCGTTTTAATTCTTATCAGGCGAAGACGGCTTTAATCAGAAATTAAAACACTTCGTCTTTCTTCACATACTCCAGCGCAAGAAAGTATTTATCTCAGTTAGACCAGCAGCCGCGGTTCGGGTTGACGGCTAACAACTAGTATTTTATCAGCACAATCTTGTGATCAGTTTTCAGCTGTGTCAGCTGTCCGATGAAACTTATCTTCTGCAAAGCTAACCCGGAAAAGGAAGCTAAAACACAAACACTGGTAAGCAAAAACAAGGAAAGAACAAGCATGAACCAGTTTTTGATCGAATGGAATATATTTTGTTTCTGTATAACCAATTATTCTAGTAAACATAAAAATGTGCGGATGAAAATTCCCTAAAAAGGCAAAAAATTCATCCTTTCATCATCTCGCGCGCGGTAATTTGGCTCCGCGCGACCTGCGCGTGATATTTTACGCATGCGTCTAATTTGCATTACGTCACGAGTCACTCAAATTGTGCAACTGCTTAAAATATTTCCTTGCCACTGCGTGTAGTCCTTAGAGCCATTAGTCTTCCGTTTGGAAGGGAAGAGTTGAATAGAGTAGCCAGATTTCAATGTGGAGATTCAGTCCAGTAAGTCTTGATCGTTGTGAATGTGTTTGATGGTATCAAAATTAAGGGAGTCGCGCGTTCAGTTGAGTTTCGCCGTTCGCTTCGATAGCAACCCATTCTTCGCTAACGAATTCATTCATCATCTCGCGACATTTCCCTATGCCGAGGCTTTAAGACTTTCCGACACTCCCTTGAATTAAGCCGTCGTTCGAACGTCTACATGTTTGAATTTTCTTTGTCTAGATTTGCTGATGAATTCTTTTATTCATAGGCCTACGGCAGTCGTGCACACACTTTTATGGAGTTCATCATTGACAGTGGAGATTGGTGTCAGGCACAACACGAGTGAGGAATTGGCGAGTTTAATGTGAATGGGTTGACCCAATTCACTTTCGATAACAGTAAGGAAACGGCGAGTTTTATTGAAACTTGGCGGAATTGAAAAATTTGTTAGTAACAGAATTAAATGACAGACATGAAAATGCCTTCTGGAACCCGAGTACTTAACAACCAAGGGAGATCCTTACACGGACCCGGCCCTGTCGTTGTGGAGCATAAGCACATGAAGTTTTTGATCACCGATCGTCCCACTGATGCGACCTTGCCTCGGTATATAGAGGTAAATGCCTTTTGTTGTTTTTGATGGATATGTGAATTAGACTGAATCTTAAAGAATCTTCCTTGCTTCTCTTTAGGATCTTAAGAGGTACGATGCCCACGTTGTAGTGCGGGTGTGCGAACCGACATACAACATCGAACAGTTGAAGAAGCAAGGAATCGATGTTCTGGTGGGTAAAACCGATTGATTACTATTTCTCTCGATGATACAATATTAAGGAGAAATTTAATAACCAGGATATATTGGTGTTTACTTCCGAAGGTAGCGGAATACATGCGAATGTAATCGATTTCCTCATGAAACGGCGTGGCCATTTTGTTTTTGATTTTTGTGTCCTCATTTGTGTGCAATGCTAATTTTTTAGAGGCTGTTTGATGTAGTAAAACCCACTTAGTAATTCTGATCTTTTTTTTGGTTTTTCTTGTACTTGATCATCGCTTTTAATAAATCTATTAAATATCGCACCTTTCGTCCTGAAATGAACAATTGAAACTAACATGAACTGGTGATGTTGAAATCGAAAGTGTAATGTTGTGGCAAATTTGGATGAACTCTGTTGTCACCAGCAGATTTTTACCCGCGGATTTTTTTCCTTGGTTTCGACTTGACGCACCTTTATTTATTGAATATGACGTTTCATTATTTTCAAATTGTCGCGATGTTTCTTGTCTTTTCTCAGTTCTTTCGTCGGGTATTTGTCAGTAAGAATGCATTTCGCAGATCGATGATTTGGCTCACAAAGCAAATAAGCGAGTATGAAAACCGGCTTTACCGGCTGCGAACAACAGACTCGTAAACTATCGTCAAAAGGCGGTCAGACCAGATAGAAATGCCTGAATTTGTTTAACAATGAGAGAGAATCGAATATACCGGTATCGACGAGTAGTATTTAACAAACTTTTGAAAAATAATTGGGCCGTTATTGGGAAAATTACACATCTTCCTTTAAATGTAACGAGGAATTAAGTCTCATTGTGACAAGTTGAGCCTTTGGATCAGGGACGTATAATTTTATCCTTAGAAACTAACTCCGATGGGCCAATAAAGTACTTTCAAGTAATCTAGATTTTTCATCATGTGACAGTCATGTTACTGCTTTCCAAAGTCCAAGATCATTTAAGATTATGTACATCCTAACAATCAGGACTTGGCAACCGGCTAATGTCTTAGAACCGGTTTGAATTGTTGATTTCTTCATGAGAAGGTTGTTGACATTTTGCACAAATTAGAAGTGTTATTTACAATTGCCATGCATAAACTGAATAAATCTACCTACATGGAGGGCATGTTCAATGATCAAAGTTACTCCTTTACTTTCTGGAATAATCAAAGAGGAATATCTCCTTACTGTAAATATACAATTTTAAGCTGACAGATAATGAGTATAGCCAAAAATATAAATGACAAGATTTTTGTTTTGTGTAAAACCAAACTTTTTTTTTAGCCAATTGAGCCTTTTGACCCCAAAGATTGATTAGCATCTAATTTCTCCTCAGTGTCACCCCTGAATCTCAAATGAAGGTCATGAGAAAAAAGGAAATGATCAGCATCTAAAGAAGCTTGTAATTGTAAACAAATTCTCCTTGTCAGCTCCTTAGGAAACATATAGAATAGGTCGAGTAATGTGCATGATGATGTCAGGATGGAAAGGGTTACAAATCACAAGAGATTCTTGACAGACAATGCAGATAATTTTTAAATCTTGATTGAAGAAGTCAAATCATAAGAATATTTTAATGTGAATTTTCAGGACTGGGCTTTTGATGATGGTGCAGCCCCACCTAAAGAAGTAGTAGATGGGTGGCTTCAGTTGCTTAAGAAAAAGTTTAAAGAAAAGCCAGGATCGTGCATTGCAGTGCATTGTGTCGCTGGACTGGGCAGGTTTGTCAACTGTGTCTCATATTTGCTTCTAGGTCCAGGTGTTTGAGGGCAGATGAATACTAACCAAGGGTTGAAGTTTAATCCCAGTTTCTTTATTCCTTTATTCAAAAGCCTTTTTTAGATATCTTAACCCAGCTTTGAACAACCCCACCCTGATTCTTTACAAACCTGGCAATTGAGTTATTACCTGGAACATTTGGGACAGACACAATTTAGTGTAGCTCTATTTTCTGCATATAAACACACACATAACCCACAATTCCTCCAATCACTCTGACGAAGGGCTAATGTTGAAAACATCAGCTTTGAAACTCTTTATGGTGGCCGATTTATGTTATCAACTTGGTTGATAATACTAAATCACCTTGTTGTACTCTCCCACCAACACAGCACCACAGTTTCTTTAGAAACTTACCCCTTTAGACATAATTTATCAGCTATTTACCCTATGACCCTTAAGATTGACTAGCATCTAAATTCTCCTTACATTATCATCCCTCAGTCTAAAATTAAGGTTACAAGAATAATGAGAATGATCATCAACTAAAGAAGCTCTTGATTGTGAAACAAATTCTCCTTGTCAGCACCTTAGGAAATGTATAGAGAACAGTATGGAGAATATGCATGCTGATATTAGGGTGAAAAGTCGTATTCTGTCAGCTAGTGGTTGATGATGAGCAAGCTTGAATCAGCAATTATCAGGCATAGCAATTTATAGCAAGAATTGTAATTGTCCTTGTACAAATCTACCTTTTCAAGTATGAATAAGATTTGAACAAGTAGATTTGTAATTATGTATTGTTAGGCTTCTTACAGAATGGCTTTACCATAGCACAGAGAGCATAGCCAAGCAGATGAGTTTAAACTTTAGGATTCAACACCAGTAACATAAAATGATTTGTAGTTACCCACTAAGAATGGGGTTCCATGTAGTTGCATTCTATAAGCTAACTCATTGAACATTCTCTCAATTGCAGAGCACCAGTCCTTGTAGCTTTAGCTCTTATTGAAAGTGGAATGAAATATGAAGATGCTGTGGAATTTATCAGGAGGTATGGTAACACTAAATTACTCTATGGCTCAAATGGAAGCTGACAATCTCAACACAAAACTTGTACCCTGATTTTGGAAACTTCTGAGTATCAGTAGTCAAGTTTTGAGGCTTTCATTTTCAGTTTTGTCTTTCAAGAATTCAGTATTAAGTTTCAAGGCAGGATATTTTATTTGCTAGAATGGAATTGAAACTGCTCATATTTCTTTCAACTTATTATTTAATATTCCCTTGACAGTGATTGCAACAGGGGTATCAAGGCCACATTACAACTTTTTTCCCTACTCATTTGACCTTATTGTTCCCTCATTGAAACAGATGTTGTGATTACAGCTGATGGAAACTGAAATTTTTAGATACGTGAATAGTATTCAATGAAAATTACTAGTATTCAAATTTCTTTTAACCAATAACGAAACTAGCATGTGCATTCAATCCTGAAGATTAGAGCATCATACTGAAACTGTTGCAGAGAAAGGTTCATGTTTTGGGGTTTGGAATGTATCCAATGTTCTGTGAATCTGTTTTTGTTGGGGCATTTTCCTTCTGAAATTGATTAATTTGTGAAATTCTCTCAAATTCTTTCAGACGAAGAAGAGGGGCCATTAATGCAAAACAGCTCAACTATCTGGAACAGTACAAGCCTTCCAAACTACTGAAAGAGAAAGGAAGTGCCAATTGTTGCATTCAGTAAGGCAAAGGCACAGCATTCGTGATGGAATCGAACATTTTATTGAGTTAATGATCAGGTTTCAGGAAAATTCATTTTAGGTGCTTGAATATAAATTTCCAAAGAAGCTGTAGCTAGGTTCAAAAATTACAATTCTTGATATTTTAGTCTGACTGGCAAAAATTTTAATGGCAGCTAGGACAATGAAGGTTATGAAATATGTAAAATCTCCCTTTTTTTTTCTTTTTTCCTCTCCATCTTGTTATTAGCAACAGGGAAATGCAAACCCTTTTGCTCTCAAAGTTTTTGTCAAGTTTCTGTAATCATACATAATGGCTGCTCAGTTTTAAGAATATAAATATTGTTGTGAGCTGAATTAAATCCTGTTACTGGAAGAGTTGAACAACTAAAAATGCACTGATTTTCATAAATGTGCATTGAAGTCGCTAGAAGTAACCAGGTGAATGGAATTGCTCAATCACGAAAGCGGTCATGCTAAAATTTGTTTCTTTATAGTGCAGCTATGTACATGTATTTTCATGTGCTTCTGTAGACACATTTCGATATGATGGGAGGAAACAAAATTCTAAGAAATATGTAAATGTTAAGCAATAATTATAATGATATAGTAAATATATTTTCACGTATCTTTTTAATTGCTATCAATTTTTTTTTCTGCTGTGTGTTCTAGACCTCTAATGAATCCATTCATTTATTCCATTCTCAAGATCTATTTGGAACAAGAATTTGCAATTAGTATCCATCACATGTATAGTTAACTTTTCCTACATTTGCGCAGAAGTATGCTTTTGATAATATTATGTAAAGTAGTTTGGAGAATTTCATTAAATGGAGACAGCATCCCCAACCACAAATCAGTGTTGATTTTCCTTCACATGCTTTTGAAGTTATCAAGGTTGTATTTTTCCTCCTTCTGTAGATCATTTCCTAGTGTTATTGTATCTGGTCATAAACTCTTCTGTTTGTAGGGGATTCTGTGAAAACTTTGTGGATGTTGTACACCGATTTCTGGAGGAGTTACATGAGGGTTGGTTGGGTATAACTAATATAGTTTAAACAATTTTAAGTGTAGGATGTACAATTTTTACACATCATTCATACCATAAATATTTTACCTCCACAATGTAATGAAGATTGTTATTTTCAGAAATATTTCAAATATTTAAAGTATGACTTTCACAAATTGTTTAAATATTGCTATTTATTTTGATTTCCATAGAAGCTTAGAAATTTACTTTTGGTTTTTGTTAATCAGTGACATCACATTGCAATTCTTGTATTTTACTCTGGGCCAAAACTCCATCTCTAATCTAATTAACCAGAGAGAAGGGAATCTAAGATAAGAATGATTTGAATGTAGTATACAAAGCACAAGAAATTACTTGTTCATTTAAATTCGCTTTTGAACACATAACAGAAATTGCTTATTTTGCTTTTGTTACCTAAGTGCAAATGAAAAGACAAAAAATGGCTAACTTCAGGTGCTCTGGTGCACAACTGTAGCTCATGTAAGGATTTCTGATTGTGCAGATACTACATAGAAATGCAATATATCCCTTTCATTGCAGATGAATGTGAATGTGTAGTTATTTTGGGTTAATGTAGAAGAGCAGTTTGAAATATTTTTTGTTTGATATTGTAATCTAAAAAATAAGGTCACCTTGGCAAAGAATGAGTTGTAAGTGGAAGAATCGTGCATGACCATGTGCATCTGAAACAAGTGTAATTTCTGAGCAGCCTCAATGTTTCAACTGAAAAATACTTTTATAGTGCCGCCAGTCTTTTGAATTTTTCTCCTTGATGCACATGCTTAGGCATGTTTTACTTGGTCTTGTGAGAAATTGGTTACCTTATGCCAAAAAAATGGGAGAAAATAGCAGCACCTAAACTGTACCATGTTTTCTGGTATGCAAGTTCTCAATCATACATGTACTTCCAAATATCCCTCAAGGCTTGCAATTATGATTTTTTTGGAAGAAATTAGTGTTAGATTAGTTTAGATATTGGGTGTAATAAATGCATGAAATCTGATCAGGTTGAGTAGAGCAACTTGTTATGTTTCACACTGCCAACAGTCACTGTTGCACAAAGCAATATCTACAGGGCAAACAAAATAGCTAAAATGTAAATACAATGGAAATACGATAAACTTTTAAATCCTCTAAAATATTCCCTCTTTGAAACTTTGCAACATGGTTGAGAGCAGTGTAACAAATATTCCTAAATGGTTGAAAAATTGTTTTCCCTCACCGATATATGTTCACTTATTGCTGTACATAAGAATCTGCTTATAAACTATTGATTGCTACTGTAGTGTGTATTTTTCTATGAAGTAAAGGTATATGTGTAAATGGTAACTAAAACAAACAACTGGGAGGAATAAAGATTTTTAAACACCTGCTTCAATTTTGTGTTACAGTGTGTGTTCACAGCAGTGTGTGTCCCCCAGATAGGTAATGAAAATTTTGAAGAAATTTATATACCAAGAAACTCTCATGGCAAGCCATCACAAAAAAAACCCTAAGCGAAAAAAAAAAAAACCCAAGAGAAGAAACCTTAATTAGCTGAGTAAATATGCTCTCATATTTTGAGAGTTAATAGTCTGATTTTTGCTGCTGGAGAAGGGGTAAAATTAGCTTTAAGGAGGTCTACATGTTGAGGAAAATATTTGTTCACTGAAAACATGTCTATGCACTGCAAAACACCTGTTGCTATGTGAGTAACTGCTGATGTACAGCCTTTTGTCTGGGTGTTTGGGCAACGGTTGACCCCCAGGAGAGGAATTCATGTATTTTACAAAGCTAGAAAATAAAATAATAAACACACTCTCATGGGCAGCTGTGAATTTAATTATGTGTAAAGCTTGAAGAGGCTACCAACTGTAATTATGTTGAAGCTAGAGAATTTTGCCAGCTCCAATCTACAAAACAACCTTGCACTACTTGAAGAAATTCTTGTTGTAACTCCCTACACTCCACCTAATCATTATCATTGATGATGTTGGCTTATAAAATGTTTGAGCTGTATATGTACCAGTACCTGCGCAAAATATTAAGGCAGATAAAACTAAAGCAGGCACATAAAACTAAGTTTAACTTAGAAATAACAAGCTGATTCTTCATAATTCTAGGCTTGGAAAACCAAATCTTTTACATTATTTTCACATGAACATGTCATCATATCCTGGTGGTGGCAAGTGATCTGGGTCAGGTCTAAACAAAAGGCAAAAAGGGTATGATTTAAAATTAAAAAAAACTTGTGGAATGTCATGAAAGTGAAAGAAAAACATCATTTCACATGTTTCTCTCAGATACAAACTGCACAAAGATGCTTGTGAAAAACTTGTTGACCTTCTAGCCAGTAATAGACATGCTGACAAACTTTTTCAATATGTTAAAGTTCACACGGCAACCAGGTGGACAATCAGACATGGTTTGATGCTACTCTGGTATACAGATTTAATGAATGTAACCAAAGAAGTTACAATTCATAGACCCAACGTTTTGACACTCCTGTCTGGTGCCTTCATTATGGGTGATTCACCCCAAAACTTTTTGAACGATAACAACCTGAACTAATCATTTCTTTATACAACTGTCAGTGAAATAACCTTGTAAACAACAATCACAGTCCTTACACAACAAATATTAGTGTTTATGGAAACTCACCCAGCAAATCTTCCTGACCTAGGATCAGTGCGTGATCCTCCATGAGGTACTGGTCCAAATGGGTCAAACCTGGCACCTGGAGGGACAGCCCCTCTAAAACAAGAACAAACAGCATGTTCTAGAACATAATTTTACTTGAATTTATTATTTTGAAGAAAAAAAAAGGAATTTGACAGGCAGAAAGGTAAATGTTGGTAGTATCCTGGATATTTTGAATTGTTCCAGCAGTGCATTGTACCTCCAGCATGTGTCTGGGAATACAGAAAACTGAGGATGCTAACAAAAGCCCCCTTTGTAACAATACAATACTGTGTGAAAGTAAACCACTTATTAAAATCTGTGTAGTTTTAAAAACTGTAAGAAAACCTACTTAAAAAATCAAAAAAAAAAAAAAGAAAAAAAGAAAAAAACTGACACACAAAATGACAAGACAATATATACTATTTATCGTTTGACTATTGTGCCATTTTCATTTACTGACTCTTGTGGTATTGATCTTGCCTTTGAAAGTAAAGCCTGACTGATTACACAAAACATACTGAATAAGAAGTATACGGACTATTGTAAATTGTTACAGTAGTCAATCAAACCTTGGCAACTGTCCTGGGAGGGGTTGTGGTCCAAGCCTTCCAGGTCCTACCCCACCCATACCTCCTGCACGAAAAGGGTCCATCAACATGCCACCACTACCACTGGTTAGAGCATAAAACTAATTATAATCATTATGATAATAATAATATGTTCACTGTGAGTAATTATTTGAATATGTTTTTACATGATCGCTGAACAGTTTGTAAAAAACACCACTTTACAACATGCCATTTGATGAATGTTTTTCCAAAGCACTGAAAATCAACAAAGTAAGGTACCCTTCTGTCGGCTGAATATGTCACCATCTTGCTGACTCAACAAGGTTTAGAGGAGATTGACAGACTGTTAAGTATAACTTGCAAATGACAGTCCTTGTAAACCAGAGTAATGAACATGGAAGCGATCTTTGCAGTAGTGAACACTACTTAAGCAGTAGCGACAATAAGGCCTGAAAAAAATTCAGGCCTGCATGGGATTTGAACCCATGACCTCTGCAAAACCGGTGCAGCTCAAATGATACATGAAGAGTTCAGATTCTAATAACTCACCCTGGGTATCCAGGGAACCTGTCTCCATCACCATATCCAAAAGGCCCAACTGGTGGTGCCCTAAGAAAATCATTTGCACAGTTAAGAAACTCTGTATAGTACAACTGAATTAAATGGATAATGCCCACCTTGGGGAGAAAGAAAAATTATCATTGCCTATTCTTTAGAAGAACCCAATATTCCAATAATACATAAACAAAGTAGTTGATAAATAATTAAGAAAGAAACCTTCAGCTTATCATTAGAGGTAAAAACAATCTAACAACTTCCCATCCCAAAAAAAAAAAAAAACTGAAATTTGTTGTGCAAATTTAATTTGGTAGTCATTTCCATTGTGGAGAAGTGGCTGCTAAATAGAATGATGGACTGACGTGGCCTTCAAACATAGTTTATTCACCTGAAACTACAGTAGAACGCTGCTCATTTGAACTCCCAAGGGAAACAAAAAAAGGTTCAAGTTAATGGGGGTTTGAGTTAGCTGATGATAAATGACTGAAAAATGGGTTAAGGGAAATTGGATCTTGTTTAAGGGATTCAAGTCAACCAAGTTTGCAGATTTTCCATAAACAAACAAAATGACTCAAATCACACAATTTAAAAGTATTTAAAAGCATGATTGTTACCATTCCCCATGAAAGTCTGGTGGTCTGCGTGGAGGTATTCTCAGTGGGTCATCATCAATCAATCTGCTTGGTTGCTCCCTATGAAACAGGTGTATTAATGAACTCATTAATATATACTTTGTTAAAATATAATTGCAGTTGTGAACAAATGATTATTGAGGTCCCTTTATCAGTAGGTACCTCTGATTATCTGTTCTGTTCTGTCTTCTTTCCTCATTGGAACCTGCTCTGCTGCTTGAAGTAAATTTGTCAACAACTTCTTTGAATATTTTTGTCTTCAACTGATCAAGATGTCTGAATATTCTACATAACAAAGGATAAAAATAATTATAGTTAAAAATTACTGATCTGTTACCGGTAGTACCAGAAAGTAAACATGAATGCTTCTCTTTTGTTGAAAAATAAATTTGCTTGTGCTGTCAATGGTAACTGAAATAGTGCTACCATGCTAGTCAGTGACTTGCATTTAAAATTTTCAAAGTGCCAAATCTTTGAAATCATTTAAAATAAAAGAAATAGTTTAAACATGATTAAGTCATGAAAGTACAAAACATGGTGATGGATGCAGTCTGACTGATAGACAAGATGCAAAACTTGCAAAGTGATGATTTATTAAGTGGAAGTCTTTTCTGAAATTTTTCTTAGACAAACCTGTCCATCTGTTGGGTTCCCTGTGCACAGTTGTATTCAGCTGATGTGGAAGTGTAGCTATCCACATCTAATTCTGCGTCAAACATTTTGGACTCATCTTCTTCCTAGATAAAGAATTCACTAGTTTACTTGAAGCAATCTTATGCTATTACTCCTTTGTTCATTAACATGTTCTCCTAGTGCTCGTAGTAGAATTTGGTGAATTTACGACTGTTGCACACTTTCAACTCAGATCAATATGTTAAACATCTAAGTTGTCAGTTCCCTATCTAACTTAACTCAATGCACTTTTGATGTGACCTTCACTGCTTAGTGTTGTTTATCATGAGAAAAAGTTTATTAACCTCAAGGAAAAAACAATCAAATGACACCTGCAACTACAAAAATGAAAAAGGTATAACTGCAACCCTTTTTTTTATTACAATTTTTTTAGGAAGGGCCTCTTGCAGAGGTGTCTTGTTCCATATATAAAAAAATTGATTGGAAATACTTTTACTAGGGAGGGGTGGGGAGATGTGTGACAAATTATGCAAGGTAAAATTAGAGTGAAAGCAAGATACATTTGAGAAATATAGGGTTCACTACAATATGTGTGCATTTTTGACCAAGCATGAAGTCAAGATGGCTGGATAATGGCCATGTCCTTCTCTTTGCACTTTTACAGACTCTCACAGTCAAGGTCAATAAAATGCCAATAAAGAATCAGGCTAATATCCAGTCATCTTGACCAAACAAGCTTGGCCAATAAAGGATTTATCATACAGCAAAAATATTTTGTTTTATTATAAATCAAGAGTGACTAATTTATTTGAAGAGCCAGGAAAGAAAGCCAACTGTGTTTGTAGCACAATGCACCCACAAGAGTTGTTTATGATTTCTATCTTAACTACTTCTGCCACTTTTTGCAACTCTATTGCAGACATTGTCCAAAAATTATGAACTTTTTTAAGTCTGCTCTATGCAATGTTTCTCTTTTGCTGGATCTAAATGGGCAACATGCCTGCAAGATCGCGAGTGGGCAAGATTATCAGGTAGCCATTAGAACACAGGATTTGCTTCATATTGCCCCAGGGTGCTGCCAACGATATAATAAGACTCCATAGAATGTGAAATAGAAAATAAAACCATTCATCGAAATTTTGTAACCTAATTGTTTATCGTTCAATCAAATAGTTGCAACCACTTGTGTGGAGGAATTACATACCATGAGATACAGCATCACTTTATCACCCAGCCTCAAGGCTTTTAAAATGTACACAGAGTTAAAGTTTCCTCTGCGATATTGAAGAGCATAAACATCATCAAGTGAATTCCAGTCGGGAGGAAGGGTCTCTCCAAAATCAAATTCTTGTTGTGTGTTTCTCTGCAGGGGAAACAAAAGTCCGAATTGAAGATCACTTCGGAAAAATGGTGCAATAAATGTTCTATGGTCGAGAGCGAGGAAAGTACTTCATTAACACCTAGTATAAAAATATTATCAACAAATAAAAATGTGGCAACTCGTTTGCAGTTTGCATTGAGTCAGCTTGTATTTTTTTCCTCGAGACAATTTTTTGAGCACTACCCCTGTCTGTTAACTCACCTCCTCCCCTGAATTGATACAGCGGAATTCTCGCTCTACAAGGCAAGCATGAACAGCTAGGATAACAGCGTCAAACTTGTCTCTAAGCTTGTATAAACGGAGAAGATTTTGTACTTTCACTTCCGCCATTTTGTTATCCACTACGATGATGTTCCTTCCCAGGTTCTTGCATTATTACTGAGTAACCGCGCCGCATGATCGAAAAGCGCGGGAAACCGTACGTTGCGCCGCAGTCTTTCCTATGAAATATTAAGACAAAAAACGAACCGAAGAAAAAACACAACAGTTTACCATTGTTATCGAAAAAGGTTAGCCTTTTTCTCAAGTTTTGTGCAAAGAAGCTCATAAAATAACGCAAACATGAAGAGAACATTGGGAATGTAGGGACGGTAAGGAAACCAAGGGGTTTTATCGCAATTTCAGCCAATAATTTTGAATGTATAGTTTTCAAAATGTTCGACAATATTTTTCTCTGGTTTTTACTCTTTTCTTTTTTCTGTCTACATTGAAATTTTTATCTGAAGTTGTTTATTTCTGTTAGAAAACACGATGAGTTGCAAAGAAGAAGTGGAGAAAAACGTCTCGTCTTCAAATGGAGGTAAACTTTCGACTATTTCCCCAATTAATAACATTGATAGTTCGCACATAAAGCCATGTTCTCGTTTCTATACTCCCAATTTGTGGTACATATATTCATATTTTGGCCTAAAACAGCTAAAATAACTTCAACGCACTAAATTTTCCCTTCCCTAGTCTTTCTATAAGAGAGAAGCCTACTAGAACACGATTTAAAATAGCACTTTTGATATGTTACTTTATTTCGACCTTGTACTGTATATTTATCTGTTGTTTAAGGTGTGACTCCTCTGCCCTCTGTTATATTTGTATCATTTGGTTTTTGGTATTTTGAAAAATGTAATTTAACTCAAAGGGTTTCTTATTGCTAAAACTATTTTTTGCCCTTCTCCATTTTCTCTCCTCTTTGCAATCATCAAAAAGGTTTTTAATTTTTGAAATGGAGAAAAACTAAATAACAACAAACACTTGTCTTCTATTTTCTCAGTGGAGGATGAGGTTGAAGACGAGGTGCTGATTTCCCTCTGTGAATCAAGTGACACTTGTGGAGATGATGTGTCAAGCGGGAAGGTAAAAAATTACTTCTGACTATAACCCACACCCTAATACAAACCTGTTTACTTCGATACGTTAATATAGGGTACTAAATTTTGTAGGAGAACTCTTATGTTGGTTACAAGTTAGATTTTATAGAGGAGTATATCGGAGAAAAGACACATTATGATAAGATTCAGATTACTTTTTATTTTTGTGAGACCATGAGCACCATTGTTTTTATTACATGTTTTTTTTAGTTAAGTCAGGGTATGTTAACCAGTGCTTACAGATTTCCAACGATATTTAGCCTAAAATAGTTTAAAATGTTAGAGCAACTAAACATTTTAACTTACAGCTTCTAGCCAAAAAAATTAAATTGTGGAAATTTTCTGGCAGGAAAAGAATGGAGAAACCATCAGTAGGAACAAATACAAACTACCTGAACTATTGACAACAATAGGTCAGCGGGCTTATTCAAGCAGCGCTAATGACAAAAGGCTTACAAAGGAAGAAAATATGAAGGATGCTGTGAAACCTGTCAAGCAGGATGAAAACATGAGTGCTACAGGGACTCGGCAGGATTGTAGAGATGGTACCAAAGTGTCCAACAGCTATCCCAGTGCAGATGAAGCTACCATCGGTATTGACGAGTCGAGAACTGTAAGGTTTAAAAACAACCTCTTTGTGGTAAGTATACAGAAAAAAAATCCAACTATTAAAATCGTAGACTGCTGACGCGCCTTCACAATTTTAACTTTATTTCCTTACTGGTTATTTGTAGGCAATCGAAGAGCTGCGGATTCAGCGGGTACGTAAGCAAATTTTAAATGACTTAAGCCATGAAATTCACACTCCCACGAGTATGATCTCAAGCTGTTTCAAAACTCTGGCGAAGAGAGTGCACCCAGCCATGTCGCCTCCAGCTCTCTTCATACTTCTCGCAAAAAACTTAACTCTCCCCTCTCCCCCTCTTATTTCATCGGCTATGCAGGCTTCTTATGAGTTTTTTTCTCGAGATTTTTGCTCACACATGAAAAGAAATCGTCAGGAACAAAAACTGAAGTATTTAGGAGCACCTATGATATGCTTAAATACGAGAAAGCTGACGGTGCATTGGACAAAAACAAAATCGTGTTGTCCACGTGTTGAGGTGGTCGTAGCATTTTGTAGAGTGTAAACAGCAAAGGCAAGCAAATCGCCTGAAGGGCGGAAAACACAAGTGATCATAATCGGTTTAAATTTTGGCTCTTTTTGGTTGAGAGGGTTAACGGTAGTACTCTAAATTGATCAGAGAGCGAAGTCTTCGCTTTGTATTTGGTCCAGAAAACTTCGGCTAATCCAATGCAATACCGGGTTACTTTATACTATTAATTTCAAATTCATACTTGTTTTCATTTTGTTATCATCATAACTATAATTTAATTTTGCGCACTTAAAAACTAAAAAAAAATATATATATATATGTGTATATAAGCAAAATAGGCGAATGAATAGATAGAGAAATAGATAGGTAGATAGGTCGCATATTTTAAGTGTGTTCTCATCAATTTTGATTTGGGGGGATTAAATTAGACCCTTGACGTGGAGAACGAGGAAAAAATCAGGACCCTGATGACTGAAAAACATGAAGAGGAGCGCATGAAGGTACCTCCAAACCTGCTTTTTTTGTTTTTGTTTTATGTTTTGTTTTTACATTTGAAGTCCACTTAGGATGAATTTTTAGCATTTATTACAATAATGGCGACTTCATATTTCAGCTGAAAAAACAAACAATCAATCCAATAGATCACAACGGACTAATTTGCATAGCCTTCGAGATAAAAACATGGATAGGAGTTTTTCATTCGCGTTCTTGCTTTGTTTTCTTATTATAGAAAGGAGTCCTTACATTTCACAAGCGAGTATATGTCGTCTTATCAGTTATTAATTTATGTTATTAAAATGAACGGCGTAAATAGATGACACTTACGCCTCACATTTCACAAGCGAGTATATTTCGTCTTATCAGTTATTAATTTATGTTATTAAAATGAACGGCGTAAATAGATGACACTGTAGAAATAACAATTTCAACTTAAATAAACCACTCAAACTCCTCACAACTGACCGGAAGAGCAGGGCACGATATATTGAGCAAAGATTTTAACATTTTCGTCATCGGTTCCTAACTTTATTCTAGCACTCTTACTAAATCCCTCGATTCGTTTTATGTTCGTTTTAGGAAGAACTGATTGCCAAAAATATCATTTTAATTGAACAACAAACCCAGATGGAAATTGACTCGAAAAAGCAGGTAACTAATCGTGTGTAATTAAACCTAACAAAAGGAAACATCAGTCTGACGGATAATTATCAAAAGTGTTGAGTACACCTCAATTTATTTTCCGATCAAAGGGAAGCTCATAATTATATTGTGGTTTCCATCAAAAGTTGAGTGCGCGTGGAAACAGATGAAAATATGAACCAAAGTTAACATTTAGAGTGAAAAAGTGCGGGAGTTGCATCTTGAAAACCCTAGTTGACACAAGAATCCTGATTTACAGCACCAGGCGAGACGACGAACATCCTCATTATTTTCAAGTTAGGTAAACCTCTCCCTTGTTGGCGGCGGTGAGCGAGTGACTCAGTTCCTCCGTTTGAAACTAATCTCACTTACAGACAAATAACAAAACGAAATGAAGAAACAGATATACCTAAAAAGGTTAACTTAGAAATAAACACATATAAGGGAAGATTAAATACCATTTATTTGAGAACAGTGTTGTAAATTTCAGTGTAGTGAATATTGCAGTCATAGAAAAACCAGGAGCACGAAACAGGAAGGGCATTTAGAATCAACTAATTTGTCAATGGTCTCTCTTAGCATTTTTGGTTTCATAAATATAATATTGTCCAGAGGACTTGTAATTTGTTGCTAGTTTCGTGATGATGTTAACCATTTAATGAACTGTGGTCTCTAACCGAGTTAACTTGTGTACTAATGGCTTCTTTCTTTAAGCAAGAAGATCGCCTACTACAATATGAAGAAGACAAGGTAATAAGACTCCAATTATCATGAACTTGTCGACTCTTACGCTTTCCAGACACCATGTGCTGGCCTTAGGGTAGAGTTGGCGTTTGCTTTTGGCTCCATCCAAGATCTGGGCTCGAGGCCTGACGGAGGTCACTGTTTTTTATTTTTATGAAATACACTATTTTTTCACAGTGCATCACTTCATCCAAGAGTTATAATTGGTATCAATAAATTTGTAAGAGACCTGTGAAAATAAATGTGGAATGTAGGGGATACTTACTTTTGGCGTTAACCTTCATTGTACTGGTATCCCATCAGATCTAAGGGGATTAGCAAATCCCTTGTCGCGTTGTGCCATGGAGGCTGGAACAGAGATTTCAAAAGTGTGGGCCCTTACGCTTTAGTAAAGACTTTCATAGCGTAGGTGCACCTGTCTTTTTCTTGTCCTCATATTGGAGTGGATTACTCTGTGAATTATCCAACCATTTCAGGCCAAACATACACTGGCAGTAGAGTGTGCGGAGAAGGAACTAAAAGTATTAAAGGATGAAGTACGAACTCTTCACGTAAGTTTCCATTGGTTATAAGTTATTGCCAATCAGTATTGAATTGATCATGTGCGTTTTACGGGAGTTTGTAGCCACAGAAACATGATTAGCTGATCAACTGATGTGTGGTATTTTCGTATATTGTTTAGGAGATTTCCATAGGAGTAGCTTCCCAAATAATCTGATCATATCACAAGCATTTTTGAATTTACGTAGAGTGTACTTGTATTATCTTGTCCGTGATTACTGAACTCCTCTGAACTGGTGATAACTTCGATGATAATGTTTGATTCAGTTGGTGAAGTACAAGCTCGAAAAGAAGATCAAAGAGCAGGTAAATTTAGAATTTATTAGCAGTGATACTGGTATTCGTCCTCTGTAAATTAAAGTTTCACCAATACTGAAATTCGACGATGACAATCTATGATAATGGTGCATGGCGGTAAAGACGAAGATAGTCGGAAAAAAGTCGGAAGATAGTCGGACAACGACGATTGTGACGAGGACGGCGATTGGTATGCCGACAATAGTTACAAAGTTGACAGAGACGACAAAGATTACAGTGACGACGAAGATAACAAAAATGATCGAAAGGAATGATTTTGGTTGCAGCATTTGCAGTAGCGTTAGTGTTTCCCCTTTTTTTGTTCTTTACGCAGGATCGGCTAATTCAATTGCAAAATTCTGCGCGAGACAGCCACGAGTCTCAGATATCTACCCTTGAGAAACGTAGTAAAAAGGCACTGGATAGATGTAGTCAGTTAGCAGAGCTAGTGGAAAAGACAGAAACAAAGGGTAACGTATTGTCAACAGCTTATGATAAAAAACCTTGCGACAAATGCACTTGATACGCCACGGAATACGTATGAATAAAATAAAGTATCGATCTTCGGTTTGTTATTTATAATGGCATCACTTACCTATTTTTCAGTCACTGTAGCCTCCCGGCTTCACAGAAAACTGATGTATACCAACGAGCATCAAAAGTGCCTCCTTCAATCGTGCAGGAAAGAACTCGAATGTAAAAAGTTCGAACTAGTTGCTTTGAAAGCAGCTCTCTCACAAAAGAAAGATTCTTTATCGAGTGACAGTGACAAGGAACGCAGCCGTCTAGATGCTCTGGAAAGAGAACTTCACATGGTATTTAGTTTATTTGTAGGCCAGTATTCGGCAATTTTCTTACAACTTGTGTAGTGATTTGTCTGTTAAACGACTTGATGAAGAAAGAGGTTGAACTGATTTGCTGATTCGCCATCCATCGGGTCAAAATTCCTCTTTCAAGAAGGAATAGTGAAAGCGAGGCATTAAAAAAAATATCGTTATGGTTTCAGCAACATGAAACTTGCCGAAAATTGCAGAGCCAGCAGGAGGACTCTAGGGAAGAAAATAAGGTAACCAAAACAAGATTTTTTTATGGACCTCGTCCCAATGATCAAGTGGATTGAAAAAATAAAACAAACCAAATTGAAACAAGCCAGCAATCAGATTGACCTAACTTTGCCGATGGATCGAGACTGTCCAATCACAACCGTAACAACAGTGAGTGTTTATGATAATTTCATATCAGTTTCTTGTTTTCATTAAGAAACTGATGCAGTCACTAGAGGAAGCGCATGCACTCCTTGACCGGCATGTGCAATCTATAAACAAGCATTGTGAGCTTGAAGAAGTTGCTCATTTGGAGTTGGACGAGACTAAAACAGAGTGTCGCACACTAAAGAAGTGTCTTGATAACGAACTGCATAAAAAGCTTAGTTTAGAAGAGACATTACAAGCTAGAGAAACAGAATGGAATGATCAGGTATAGTGCATTAAGGTTAATTGGCCATTTCGAATTCTAAGAGCTCACAGGATGAGGTCATGCGCCTTTTTTGGCATCGAGGAAATGAAATGTCATGTCATCCCTTTTTTTGAAAGCTTCTTAATCTGTGTAACATACTACAAACGAGGATGATTGTCAAAGACATATTTCAGACATTTATTGTCATCTCTGCCTCTCTCCCATGGTTAAAACGAAATTCAAGCACTTTTGCCACGAGTCATTTTAACCCCATAAAACAATGTTTAACTTCATGTATGGCACCCTTATAATCAATGCAAGGTTTCATCAGCGAGTTTGCCCTCTTTTTGAAAAATTTTCAATATCATGTTAGAAAAAGGCTTTGGAAAGTCGTCTTGAAAACTTGCAACGAGAGCACAATTCCTTGTCAGAGGCTCATAACTCTTTGGAACAACTGAACAGTAACTGGTCAGAACATAATATGCAACAGAAGACCAAAATAGAGTCAATGCAGAAAGAACTCGACGAACTCGGTAAACGTCTGGCCCAGGATGAAGAAAACCTTCAAGCACAGAAAGGAATCCAAGAAGAGTTAAAGAAAACTCATTCAGATGAGGTATTAATGAACCTCACTTTTATTTCATTAACATAATCCAGAACAATAGATTGAATTTTTTTTGTTACCATATCGCTGCACAATATGGAGGGAGAGGAAAGTGGAGTCTTTCCTGCTCCAATTTTCTCATTTCACCCGACATTCTCTCATAAGGTAAACGCTTATTTATTTATTTACTTATTTATTTCGCTATTGTTTTCTAAAGAGGAAAATAGTATCTGCCTTCGTAGACTACATAGCCGCTACTGTGATTTTATACAGCTGGTCTGCCGGCATTTGTACGAAGATACCTGTTCTCTTTTTAAATTTTTTTCTTCATTAATGTAAGCGACTTTATTGTACAAACTCATCATTTACTTGAGCTCCTCAAGGCTCCCTCATTGCGGCTTAAGTCTCCTATTGATCTTGTTGTAGATTTCATCTTTTAAAGCAAGGCTTAAACAAGTTAGGGAGGACCTTGAAAGTCAAACACACCGAGCAAATTCTTTGCAAAGTCGATGTACTACAATGCAAGAGAGAGTTAGGGAATTGGAAAACGAGATCATAAACAAAACAAAGGAAAAAGTTGACTGCAAAAGGGAGTTCACTGACACCACTTGTCAAACCGAAGACCGCTTTCATGAGGTCAGTACATTATGTTGAACAAAACCACTGATACAATTAAGATCAAGATCAACTTTATTTAAACACGCTGGCCTATCATCAACACTTTAAAAGCTGGTTAATCCTTAAAAGATAAATTGATATTTCGCATATGGTCTATAGGTTGAAATAAGCTCATCAAACGTAGCCAAAGTTTCACAACTACGTGTTTCATTTTTGCTGAAATTCTTTTTTAAAAACTCAGTCTTGGGCAACGGAACGGCCAACTTATCATCAGCGTTCCTTAAATGATAATTTTTGGCCGAGCACATTCAAAGGCTGCCATTATTTCAAGGCGCTATTAGATGCATGCAGGGCTCGTGTATCGCCGAACAGTGTGAGTCCTCTGGGTGCGATTGATCTTAACCTAAGTCTGGCTTGTTGAGAGATTTTCCAATCCGATTTTGAATTACTTTAAAAAACCATTAAAAAATTGCTCTACGATGACAATGATGAAGTTAAATTTGAAGTGAATTGAAGTGAAGCGTCTCAAAATAAGGCAGGCTAGATCGTGGATTATTTCAGGCAATAATTGATTTATTACTGGATGAATGTTATCTAGACAACTGGTCGATTGATTGGCCGAGTGATTCATATTTCAGCAACTCTCATTGCTACATCATAAGCTGCTGCAAGCTGAACAGAGCTTCATAACTCAGGTGGGAAGGACCGAACTTTTGGAAAATCAGTGCGTTGTGCTGAAAGAAAGGGTCGCTGACCTGTTTCAGAAAGTAGCTCGAAAAGATGGAAAAGAAGTGAAAACTAAGGAAGAAATTTCCATTACCTTTCCGACTGATACCATGTCTAAGGTACACCGTCTTTGTTTTGTTTTGAATTGCCTCAATACCCTTCAAGAGCAGTAAGGATGAAGTTATTTCACAACCTTCATTTGATTTATGAAGAAAGCAATCAATGGACCAAGAAAGTAAAGAAATGCATTTCTAAGTGTATTTGTCTCATCAATTTGCGCTGCATTGTAAGTTGTAAATTGCGGTTGGATCAGTAACTCTTTTTTTGAGATCAAGCGCTGAGACTAAGAGCATTATCAGTTGGACTCACTTGAGAGGAATGATGTGAAGTGAAACAAACCTATATCTAACAGTTATCTCACCCTGATCCTCATCAATTATAAATTTACTGAACCTCACATCAATGGAGCTATTTCTTAAAAGCGTTACTAAAATCTCTTAGTAACTTACCTATAGTTATTCAAGAACGTGAAAATGTTGATACGTATCATTGTTTCAGACAGAGTTGGATGATTTAGGCAGCGTTGATGGTAGTGCATCGAGTGAGACTTCGAAACCTACTGAAACGCTGAGACAGGTAGAAACAGTTCCAGACAGAAAATCTTTGATCGATAATAGCCGTGCAGAAGGGCATATCAACTATGGGGCATGTAACAGAGACGTCATCGTATTAAGTGATGAGGCTAATCTATCAAATGCGGGTGCGAAGAGCTGTGCAGCTGTGAAGATATATCAAGAATCTCTTGAAAGTCAACGAAATATATCTGAAAACAAATCACAGGCTACAGCTTCAAGTATTGATGTTGCGAATGAGGCCTTTATATCAAAGGCTCTTGACTCCAGTACCACTTCCACTTTGGAACCAAGTGCAGAATCTGAGGGCAATCTTAAGAATAGCAGAGATGGTGACAAAGATGACATAGCTTTCCTGAGGGACAATGAAGCTTCTCTAGCTCTGCGAGCCGCGAAAGCAGGTAGAGGAAATGAATCAGAGACTGAAAATGAACAAGCAGTTGAAGATGGAGATGAAATAGGTATCTGCAAAGAGTCGAAAACATCTGCAGATCTCGAAGACAAAAGATGCAAAGAGAAGGATGGTCAGTTAGACGCAGCGATTACTCCGTACAAAGCTAACGTTTCTGCCAAGAAAGTCCGTTTTAATCTTGAGGATAGCAAACCTTCCAATGATCAACCATCAAATGTTTCGGAAGAGAACAGCCAAAAGGAACCTGACATGATGTTTTCAGATGACGAGGGTGGAGATAATAGATGCAGCAACATTGACGAGGATGTTAGTCAGCGAATAAATCGGATACAGAATTTACTGAGATGTGATCGTTTAAGAACAAATCGAAAAAGGAAGTACCCTGTTACTTGAGTGCTATTATTATTTTGAAAGAAAGCTTTTAGTTTACGAAATGATGGCGATTAAACTTGCTCGTTAATACTTTCGTTTTTCTTTGTTTTCTTTTACCCTTGACTGTGTGATCAAAACGTTCCATGAGACGAGCCGTTTTGTGACTACTTGGGTTTATTTATAACCCTTTGAAATCAAGCAGACAGTTTCTCAGCTTACAGCTCCATTCCTCGTGATTGCAGCTCTATACTTATGGAAAGATGGCTCAGTAAAGTCGTGTTTGAAAAACAAAATAAATAGATACTCTTTTTTCTACTAAATCTGAACAAGTTGGTTTCGAGAGTCAGCGGTTCAATTGAAGATCCTTTTTTTACTTGTGATATGGAAATGACTTGATGAAGGCAACGATTTATGAAGATTATTTGGTATTCAGTAGTTAGGAAAGATTTCTTCTGCCACGCTACAATAGGTCAGTTACCTTTTCTACTTTTTCCTTTATGTTTGTTTTTTTACTATAACTGTTATTGTTATCTTTATCGCTATCATTATTTTGACTTCTCCTTGACCTCTACACGCACTGGTACTCGACCAAAAGATACTTGTAGGTTCCTCCACATGGATCTCCCCCAAACATACCGTTATTAGGCGCCAGGTGACATGACACTAAGTTGTTACACAAGTTGTACACGGCTGAGAGAGAATTTGGAGAAAGACAGTTCGTGTTCGAGTCTGCACGATGAGGACATGTTTGTGTGTTCCTTCTGCCATATGTAGCATCCAAGATCTGGATTCTCTGTCCATTTTGACACGTTATAGCTCCTGAGTTTCCCTCACAAATTGTGATGGAAAGTAGAGGTTCTGCATTCAGAGAGTATAGTTTTTTTCAGTAATGGGGAAAAGGTTGCACATATTTGAACCGATGTTCCTTCCTAACATGAACCCTTAAAACCGTCATAATTCTTGTTTCGATACTTGAGGTTCAGAGGGAGATAGAAGATTAACTCAGTTTTCTTTTATTATGACCATATGGACATTAGTAATAACTCTCCTCTTGGAGCGTTAAATTAGGTATCTAGAAGTTATTAAAGGATGTATTGATTTGGTTGTCATCGGCTCGGAAGTTGTCGGGGAAAAATAAAAGTAATTTAATTTGATTCGGGGAAAATAACACTTATGCATGATTACGTCATTGCTAATTGTGTCCACGAAGCCTCGCTTGCGCTACATTTTCCTCTCGGAATTTGGCAATAATTTCTGTCATAAATTCTCCTGATCAGCAAAGTTAAGTAAAGTGTATTCATATCCATATTTCGTGAACTAATTTCGCAAAAAGTTCATCCAATTTACATGTCATGGATCTCGAGGATGTTTCTTTATTTGCACCAAAGTTAAACGGGTGCTGGGAAGATTAAAACCGCGGCAGTAACAGAAGAGCAGCCACTGAAATAGGAATGTCAACCCTGGAGGCGAGCAAAGTAGCCAGTGCGCATGCCAGAGCTAGACTGGGCTCAGGTGCTTTGCTATTTAACACCAATTGTATGAACATTACATCAACATTTTATCTTTTAGGCTATTTTAAATTTATGTCGAAATATTAATTGAAATCCATTTCTCACCGTTCTCACATAAAGGACCAGTAAATCCTGGTTTACATAAACAGCGATATCCTTTGCTTGTGAAACCAGACTGGCAGATTGCCTTGTTCTTGCAAGGGGCCTGGCCGCAATGGTTCTTAAAAGGAATAAAATGTTTGATATTGTTGCGGAAGTATACAGGACACTCCATATTGCAATATAGTGAAATTTAGGTCAGCATTCGAACTAAATGGCCCAGGCCAGCCGCTGTAGTGCAGTTTTTTTTTTCGTTTTCTGTAGCATGAAGCGACAAGGAGAATTTTTACTACTTTTTACTACCCTAATGTTATGCCAGTTTATCGTATATAAATATATATATATATGTATATATATATATACGATATATATGATTCATATATACGATTCTTTTTATTTAAGTGCTAATACAATGAAATCATGAACGAGTGAGCTCAGTTAGTAAGCCAGAGATACATCATGCTGATAGACACCATCTTGCCTAGCTCCTAGCGTTCATTTGCACATGCAACCAAATTAGTTCCAAGTTTTCTCGCACCTGCACCAGTAATAGCAATTTACCATTCAATTATTCCGTTCAATTTCATAGCGGTCTAATTAGCATACAGGTGCTAAATGCATCGACGCTTCAATAAATTACCAATTTTACTAGTTTTCTTCCAGTATCCTTTCCTGATTTCTCGCTTAAGTTTTCAAATTCCCAAGGTGCTTCTCTCTGTAGCATATCACAGGAATCATTAGCAAAATTGAACTATTTGTCATGCTATCCAACCGGGAAAAAAAAAGTTGTAAATACGGCTGCAAACGAGATGTTTCTGTTAACAAAGAATATGAATAATTACTGATATATCTCGAGGAAGGTGAAGTTTTTCAGTTTTTTCCCTATTCTTGCTGCAGAGCCACAAAAAGGACCAATTTTCCTTTCTTTTCCTTTTTAATTTTTATTTAACAAAAATTACGCTATGCGTTCATGACTTTGCTATGGTTTTGATTTTCAAGCGTGCAGTGTTAAGAAAATGTTTTTCCCTTTCTAAGCCGACTCGTATGGTGCATCCGTAGAGTTATTTCTTTTGAGGCCGTACCCTTTTTCAATAAAAATATCTACAGTTTTACAAAATTAATCTTACATTTGTTCCATGGTATGAATATCTTGGTGCACTTTCCAAATCCTGGTCATGTTCTTTATGAGTTGAGTTGTTCAAATCACATTTGTGTGTTCGTGATGCGTTTGGCTGAACTTCATAATTAATACTGACGCAGTTGCTCTCAACATAACATCTTAACTCACACAGGTCTCTGTCAAGTACGTTGATCGTTGTTATAACGTGGTTTGCGAGGTATTTTCCTTCAAACGATAAGGAAGAAAGAAAGCGCAATTCGCGAGCTTGACCTAAAAAAAGTGAAAAGAGGACGAAAGTGATAATTTTTTTTAGTATACTACTTAGCATGAAGATTTTTAGGAAGCTTTCTTCAGATTGGTGATATTTTGGGGTTTGGTTGTTCGAAACGACATTTTATTCTGGGAACTAAAAATTTTGCCATTTTTTGTTTAACGGCTGACCATTAACTTTATTTACAAAAGTGAGTCCAAATGCGAAGTATATGAAATTATTCCTGCTTCTTATTTTGTTTTTTTTTTGTTTGTTCATTTTCATTTTCATTTTTTTTTTGTGTGGGAACCTTATGTGCAGATCGAGGGGAATTGGAAAGATGTAATAAAAACTAAAACTCAGACTTGTTCATGCCACAGGCAATACATGCATTTAAATCAACTTGTTAGTCTTACAACGCACCCCAGGTCTCTTTTATGTTCGTCGATGAGTTTCATCCATATTTTGATACATAGATTTTAATGAATGGTGAGTACATAAAAACCCATCAAATTGCCAAAGATCCAATCTTAACTTGAACGGTCGAAATGATTAAAAAATATGAAACCCTTTTAGTGAGACAATATTTGGTAATGGAAACAACATTTCTGTTTGTTATTAGCGCTAAAGCTGTATTTACTACTCAAATGTTCCGCTGTATACCATTTGAACGTACGAAATTATGTAAATCTGGAACCGAGTATATAATATGATAAGATTCACCTGCAAACTGGTAATCAATTCTTGTGAAAAGTTAACAAAAATGCGCTTGTTTCTGAGCTCAGTTTTTTTTTTTTTCATTTTAAGATACAGATCTTACTACTTGTTCGTTAGCCGTTCCTGCGTTGAAGATACTTGTTAAGATTCAATTAGGAAAAATCACTCAGATTTTCTTCTATTTAAATGTCGGCATAAGCTTAACCGTAATATTTTTCATTAGTCTTTTAGAGCAACGCAATCAAGGATCCCATGCAAACCTCACTGTGAAGGCAAAATTTTCGTTGCTTAAAAAGGGGCACAGATGTTAGTCTGAATGTGAAAACTGGCGTCGTGAGAGCCAGTGGAAAATCAAGCCATTTCCGATAATCTGAGGAAAAATATAATTACAATTTCTACTCGAAATTCTGCCTGGTGTCTCTTTCCTGACTGCGTACTATTCCTGGAAAGTATTAAAAAGATAAGCTCTTCTTTAAAAGATATCGTTAAATAAGCGAGGAAACTTACCGTCAGAGCAGGACGTGACACGCTCAAGACGGTAGGCTATCACGATGAGACACAAAATTGTGATAAACAGCCCATCCATATGACTATGCAACCTTGTGGTTTGGCTCAGTTTAGTTTTTATAGGACTAATGTTAAACTATCACAACGACTTAAACGTTTTTATCTGTCATTTCTAAGGTCAGGATCGAAAATTTTAAAGCTTCCTTTCTTGCCATGAAGTGCCCTGATATTGTGTTAGCTTCACGTCTCCAGTAGTGATACTAAATAAATAATAACCGATCCAGGCGTAAGTTAGGAACATAATGAGACGACGCGAAAGTATTACTTGTTACTTCTGCTTGTTCCCATGGTGTCAGGAGTGGAGTTCAATCCTTTCAGGAAATCTCTCGACACGTTGAGAATCAATTTGAAAATTGTATCCGGTTATTTTCAGCGTTCGCCGGTGGACTGTCAAACCGATTTCAATGATCTTTATTTTCGAAGAAGCAACGAAATCGGAAATCATTCGGCCATAAATCAACTTCATATAAAATCCATCTATATAAAGTAACTGTTTGAAATTAGTCAGGTGGAAGAGTCGATATGTTTTATCAAAGAGTTGAATTAGCCGATGAGTATGTATAAACAACGTCTCCGGAAAAGTCACATCGTTGTAGTACTAACAATTCAAACCTATTTACAATAATTAGCATTTTGTGGTCCATCTTTAGTCGTTTTGTTTCACACATGCTTTGTTGGTAATATATAATGCGATATAAAGGGCAAGGCTTTACCGAATGCAATTTATCTTCTGCAATTTGCCTTACTCTTGGCGTTTTTATGTTTTGATTGAAGCGGTTATTATGATAAACTAACACATTCTATGACGTGTTATTAAGTGAATGACACAAACCCAGGGCTCTTGTAGTCTGATCATCCAAAAGAGAGAAGCCCTGGAAAAAACTTCTGGCGAAAATCTAATTGGAGGTTTTCATCAGAGTGAGTTTAAGAGTTCTTTGTCAGTCGAATGACAAGCACACTCGTCACGTGACTCTGATGATAACGTCAGCTGGAGCAGGGTTGTGGAAAAGTCAAATACTAAAGACTGCCGACATTCGTTTCAGGACTACTCTTACTTGGACGAGCGGACTGCACGATTAACTACGGCTGATAGTAAAGGTAACTGTATATGTGTAGGTAACAAAGTTGCACGAGCCCGTTGGGCGAATGGGCGAGTGCAATTTGTAGTCTTTGAAAATTTACAAGTGCTAATGCGAAGATCGCTTTGATGTGCAAGAAATCATGTTTTTACTTATTTATAATTTACCAAAAAAAAGGCATCACAGACAATGAGGACAAACGAAATTTAGTGCTATTTGTATTTTTCTCTCACCTTTCAACTTTTCACTCTTATGGGGAGTCATGTGTGCCAAAAATATCAATCGCTAGCGATAGGGCTCAATCGTTAGTACTAAAATATCAATCGTTGAGAAAACTCAATCGTTAAAGCTACAATATCAAATATTGATGATAACACTCAATCGTTAGTGCTAAAACTCTATTTTTATTGCTAAAATATCAAACACTAGTGATAAAACTCAATCGTTAGTGCTAAAACATCAATCGCTTGTGATAAAACTCAATCGTTTGTGCTGAAATATCAATCGCTAGTGACAACTAAAACTCAATCGTTAGTGTTAGCAACAAATCGTAATTGTACATCAATTTCCGTTTCGTTCTAAAATGGTTCATCGTTAGTGCTGAACTTCAATCGCCGGTGTTTTTGCGCCAAACGCCGTTGTAAGACTCCAGTTAAAAGCATTAACTATAAATTGCTGGTGTTCTGAGGCAGATCGATAGCGCTGAATATCAATCATGGGTTTAAGTGTCAATCGATAGTGTTACACCTTTATGAATTGTGTTAATTGTAAAAAACAGAAATTGTAACGATGTCAGTCGTCAGTGTTTCCACCCATCGTTTGGGATAAGTAGAAATCGCTACCGCAAAACATCAACCGTTAGTGCTAGTATCGATTTTTTTATTATTCTAACTTAAACCAGTCCACGCCTGTTTTCCAAGAACGAAACAAACGTCGTTTACTTTCTTGCTTTGAAACGAGCACAAATATTTCCCTTTCGTGCCTAAAGGAACGCTTACGAACTCTAGCCTTATCACTAAACTTAACACATGTCTTTTCTGATATTGATATTGTTATAACCTTTGAAGTGCTAACTATAATTTACAGAGTCTTTGGATCTCATATATCACAATTATGGGAAATCATCTAAAACTGTTATGGATATTTAATGTTGGTATATTTTAAAAAATCCTGGATGCGCAGCTGGAAACAAATTTTGTTTCGCTCTGACTGTTTTCATTCAAGAAGCTTTTTTTGTTTTCAAGAGTTCAAGCTGAGGTAATCGCGATATTCACTTTGCACTCAATTGCTTGTATCACTAATATCTAAAATGAGATAGAAACTTATTATAGGAAATTATTAAATGTTCGAAGTTATGTTTCGAAGGTATGTTTGAGGAAAGAGAATGAGGCATCATGATACCAAGGACTTGAGCATGTTTTCGGGAGAGATCGCTGAGCTGACGTGAAATTGAATATAATTTATTCATTTTTATTTCCCTAGACGAAATTGAGAAGCATTGTTACCAATATTGAAGTCTACCAAAGTCCAGAATCGTGCAGGATTTTACCGAAAAAAAACCCGATCGTTACTTCGTGTCGAGCTTTAGTGTTATGTGAATTGACGATCACTTTACCCTTACTCAATTGACAGCTGCAAGAAAATAATGAAATGTCCGGCGATGAGAAGCCGCCTGGTTTTACTGATGACATTGACGTTTTCGATAAAAGTGTCAGAAGGTAATTAATTAATTTATTCTTAAAATTTTGTGTTATTTCCGTTTCGCTTACGTAAAGATATTAATTTAAACTTTTCCTAAACTAATTAAACAATAGCCGCCACTCTCTTATAGGCTAAAGATTCAAATTCTTAACTATCGTCCCATTTCCCACTCCCCCTTGACAAAAAATTCGAAAATGGAGACCCAATAAAAATAACAATTATAATTTTTACGGATTGGATGTAAATGGCTGAACTGTACTGCAGTCTACAAATTTCTTCTTCCATTTAAAAATTACCAAAGTTTGGAAGCTTCTGTTTCAGTTTTGAAAATTGTACGTGCTGCATCCAAAGAAATACGTGCTCTATATGGTATTCACGAGAACTCCTCGTATTCAAGTCTGGGAATTAAATGGGCCCCATCTTTGAGGGTGGGCGTGTGAGAAGGGGTGTTTTATGGCGTTCAGGATATATTTAGTTCATTTATGTACTTGTTCATTAGAAAACATACATGTAGGCGGCAACTTCCTCAGCCGAGGTATAGAAAAGAGAATGGCTTACGCCAAATTTAAAGCTCACAGGTTCGCCTTTCTGAACGTCACCACCATTGGACCGGATAATGTTGTGAAAGCGGGCAGCGAATGTGGTTTAGCTTGTGTTAACTCACTATCCTGTTTGTCCTTTAACCTGGCTGTATTTCATGGCATGAATGGCAAACTGCTATGTCAATTACTTCCAACCGACATTTACAACAACTCGGACAAGTTTGCCACCAGTGAGCAATTTCATCACTATAGCATCTTGGTAAGAGCAAATCACTCTTGACAATTTTATCAAAAATCGCAATTTAAGGGTTGAATGACAACTCACGGGCTTTAACAGCGCTCTCGAATTTAGATTACCAAAACAGGCCATCCATGGACATTTTCAAAATATGAAAACGTAGAAAATTGAATGGGGGGCACCTTCCACCTTGTATCAGGGTGGGGGTGTCAATATGTGTATAGGTCTAACGCTCATGAAGTTTGTTTCACATTCATTCAGTGTTATCAGCATCAATAATTAGAAACCTTTGGCTTACAGGAAGTACATTACAACCGGCGTTCAATTCTGTTAATAAACCATACAGAAAATATTTAGCTCATTTAGTTCTTTAGGTAAGAAAATTCTGAATGAGAACACAATTCGTTACAGAAAAGGGGGCTAAGGTCGATGGCGTATGTACGTGACGAATCTCATTTTCCTTTTTTTCCTTTAGTCTCCCTGCATCAGTTGGCCTTGTCAGAACAATGGGACATGCGCTGCACAATACAAAGACGATAGCTACATTTGCATTTGCAAACGAGGATACACAGGGAAACACTGCGAAATTCTTGGTATGAAAACCTCATCGGTGGGGACCCCTTTGTAGGATGTAATGGGGGAAAGATGTCTTTAAAACCAGGAATACCCAAAAATTCACCTGATGTACCAATGAAACTGGGCTTAAAAAAACTTTTCTTTGAAACTGCGGTTCCATGATTGGCATTGTGCGTAATTAGGAGTAATAACATCAGGATCATGTAAGAAAAATATTTATTATATAAACTACGGTATTATACATGGATTCCTAGCCCTGAGAAAAGCCGCAAAAGCACACAACGATACGAAATTTTTTCACACGTGTTTGATACCACCAATCAGCTGCTGACACGCCACTCGCCTTTCGCGCCACTCGGTCAGGTTGATGAATGAACGGCAAAACCTTCACGATCCTCAGTACAAGGTAGTTTGTCGGAACTCTTTCGGATTACGACGACTAAAACATTAAAAAATCTGTATCGCTCTCAGAAAATGACTTTTAAACTTTCCCAGAAGGGGAAAAAAACCAATATACGGTGATAAAAGCCGAAAGTTATGTATTTAGTGGCTTTGACAATGGCATTTCTCGCCGCTGAGAACGAAAATCGACAACTGGAAGATTTTCCAAAGGCCGATTTTGGCCGTTTACCTAATAGACTTCCTCTGTCGGTAAGAACAAATTCATTAAATAAGAATTTTGTACATTGAAAATTATGCCCATCGTTGTTTATGTAATCGGGGTACTTTCTTAGAACTTTCTCGGATTATGGCGGCTAAAATACTGAAAAATCCGTATCTCTTACAGACATTGACATTCAAACTCTCCTAGAAGGGGGAGAAAACCAATGTAAAGGAAGGTACGTTTTTTATTGTGGGGGTGGGGTTGGCCGGGGCTTCGGAGGGGAGAGATTTGAGTAAATTTTTTACAAATTGGGAGGGTAAAACCTGTTTTATTCGCAACCGGGAGAGGGTAATAGTTTTATTGGCGAGGAAAAAATTACTCTATGTCGCTTTGTTGACTCTTGCTTGTTATAATTAACAAACACGCGAAGTGTATAGAAACCTTAAACTTGTATATACAAGCAAAGCTACCAGTCAAGATTAATCTAAATTATTTACAGGTGTCGAATCGTCTCTCTCGACCCGTACCCGCTTTCGTCCATATTTTGACGGCAGTAACGTTTCTGCTCGGGGTTCTGGTATAAAATCAGTCTTCGGTGTCGATTTGTCACTTAAGCTACGAAGGGTTGAACCGACAACTCGATCTATTACATCACCTTGCGAGTCAGTTTGAACTTCGGAAATATGCCGTCCGTTTGAATCGAACAGCGCATTATCATCTTCAGTTACTTTCGCATTCAGCTCATCAATTTGGACCTTCAGCTTCAAAAGGTCGTCAATGTTGTTCTTAATCGTGGTAGCGTTTGCGCTAAAATTTTCCTTGGGTCAGATGTTTTTGTGTAGGTATTTGTGAAGGGTCATGTATTAATCCATTCTAGGAAGTGGGAGGGCCACGACT